GTTGGGTTAACTCAAAGTGATTATTAGCATTTCTGAATTCAAGGTATCATATCCTATATTTTGATTAATGATTAATCTGATGAAGAAAACACTTTTCTGCTACATCATATAGCCATTTTGCTACCAAATTGCATCCAAGTAGCAGACCAAACAATCTACTTACGATATCTGAAATTGCTAGAGAATGTGGATCACTGCTGTGCAATAAAGCAGAGCGGTTCATAAATCTCAAATAAAATTCTCAAAGGAAACATTTTCGATGATGAAAGTTTTGGCCATGGCTATAATGAATGTGAGGAATTTTTTGTTGTTAAATTGGTGAAAATTCATCTAAAAAATAATGCTTTGTTTCTATTGATTATAGCATTCTGAAAAACACATTCTCATAAGCTTCATGTTCTCTATGGTAATGGATTCCTCCTACCATTTAGAGACAATTTTGAGATGATGATAGTTGAGTTAAATAAAGCAATTTTTACCAGTTTTGTATCTTACAAAACAGAGAGGTATAATTTCTTGTGGGGCCCATCTTTACCAACCAGCTCTATAAATCTTCCTAAAGGTTTCTATCAGGATACAAAAAAGACTAATATCCTCTCTCTCTCCTCTTCCAACATCTTCCTTTCCTTTATTTCTCTAATTTTTCTTTTTGACAGAGTCTCATTTGACCCAGGCTGGCTTTAAACCTCAAACATTTGATCCTCTTGTGTTCATGCCCCAAGTGCTGGAATTATAGGCATGTACCAACAAGCCTGAACAAAAGGTCACATTTGTAGTATCTAATTCCTGAACCCATTAGAGTGCATGTAAAAAGAATAGTCTTGTAGGAAATGAGGAATATTTAAACACACAAGGCTGTTAGTCTGCATTGAAACTATTTTAACTGAAGAACAGTTACTTGAATAGTCCTTTGTAGCCCAAATGTCACGTTAAGATAGAGGTGCATGGATAATTTATCTTCCAAGTGGACTGCATAAGCTTTAGTGATAGACTAAATTTATTATAGCTTCAGGATGACTGATAAGATCATCACGACAGGTGTGCTCAAAATCACAGTGGTCATTATTTGAGGTTTCTGCCCTTCATGTGAGAGCATAGCTTTCTTTCCTACTACCTAGAATTTCATGCAGGCATTTGTTCATGCAACAAACATGTTAACTACACATATGGAAACTGTTGCTGGACACAGTAAGTCTGACTTCAAATAGCCTGTCATCATTTTTCTGAATTTATGATTGTTTTCAAACACATAGTCAACACTTTAAGCAGAGATATTGATTTTATGGCAGGGAAAAAAGCATCATGATTACATCTGTCTTTATATTGGGGCTTGTATGGAAACTATCCAGACACTCTCAATAGTAAGCCTTAAAATACAGAGTTGCTTGGATAAGAGGGGTTCTGGGTGGTTTCCAATTGAACAGAGTCCAAATGCTAATAACCAAGTTTGACAAAGGAACTTAATATCTAGAGTTGCCATCTTCTCAACAGTGCTCACAAAACAACTGTGGTCAAAGGCTAACTGAATGAATACTTTTGGGTTCATAGAAGTTGTCTAGAATTCTTCTTGGGGCAACTAAATACACATCATCTGTTGTTACTGTTGTTTCTAAATGCCTCACCAAACTCAAATATAAAGAGGCAAATAAGAATGTCGTAGTGGCAAGTACTTGACGATTATATTATGATCAGTTTGAGGAAGCCATGCAAAAAAATATCCAAGTTTCGGTTTCTCTATTGGCCCTTAATGGGTTCCTTGAGAGTCAGCGAAGTAGTATATCTGGTGTGTTTATTACTAGCCTGAATCTAGTAAGTGATATATACAGAATGGATATTATATTTTTACGCAAATATACAACTCTGTATTTCTGAGAAAATTAATTTGACTTTCTAACACTCAAGCTTTTCCCTGTTTGAGGAACACAAGCCATTTATGAAGGAGATTAGAAAGTATTGTATTTAAAAGATTTGAGTAAGGGCATTTTTAGCAATTATAATAACAGACTCACAGAGGGTGAGGACTGGCAGTGGGGGAGGCTGACTGCTGAGACTTCAATCCTCTAGAAAGTAGTAAGGATTAAAGTTAAACACACTTTTATGTTGTTTAATTACTAAAGAGTATGCTTATATTTGGGATCTAACAAGCTTTTGCGGTGGTGTTCATATTTGTATACACATTTACTCATTAAGTTGCTTAATTTCATTTAAGGGACTCTATTTACCTTCAAGTAAAGATAAATTACAGTGTGTCTTAAACTTGAATATTTTACATCCAATGTTTTCCCTCAAATTCCATGACTGTGGTAGCAGCAGAGGCTTCTAAATTCACCCAGTCAGATTTTCTTTACTTATCATGAACTGATAGAAGTATGATATGTTGACAAAGTAGAGCAAATGAATGGGAAAATACATACATCTTTAGAAGGTCAATTAAGTACTGAAGTTTTCCTGTAGAAAGAGCAGCAAATGTCAAGTACAAATAGGGAGTCTGGATAGCCGCAAGCCAAAACTCAGAACCATTGAAATATGTGAACACAGGCTTGGTGCTCATGGGTGCAATTCTTATAAACAATTCACACTTGAATGGAAGATATACATCTTGTCAAGCAGGCAAAGCAAACCAAGCTGAGCAAAATGAATAGATGATCTCAGCAATTAAGGGATTCTGTTTTCCAAGACTCTAATCTCTCTTCACTGTACTAAGCAGTAGGTGGTGAGTCGTAGACATTTGCTGGCCATGAGTAGTCATATCTTCAAGCCTGTCTGTCTTGGGAGTTGTTTCTTACCGAGTTCCAAATATTGGCAGCTGCTCTACACTCAGAATGTTCTTAATCACCTACAGAATTACCCTGCCCAATGTAAAATCCTAGAAGTTGCAATAAAATATGAAAAAAATAATAATGACTGTGCTGATAAGAATTTGAAAAACTAAAATAAAAATAATTTTATTACAACTGTGACCTTCCGTGTTTTAAACCAATATCTTGCCTAAAGAATGGAAGTATTCCAATTACAGTGTGATGGACAATACTTGGAAGAAGTTCATTCATAAAATGGACTTAGTACCCTCAAGTCTTTCTGATTCTTTTTACAGAGAATTTTAGTGTTACCATGTATACTATACCCTATGCAGTAAAATGCTATTCTCAGAAATGCAACCTTCAATCCTAAGCAACTCTTGGTGAGTTTCCCTGTGTTAGGTTTAGACTACTGATACATTTTAATATATGATATATTTGGTAAGTAGCATATTTCACAATGGAATTCTAATGTACATCCTTTAGGAGTAAATTCATTTTGCCATTAAAATACAATTTTGTACTATTCCTTGTTTGCAAGCCTGCATTGACTCCTCAAATGTGTTCTTTTGTATTTTATTATTTTGAGTAGGAAAATGATAATATAGGAGTGCCAATTTGGAAGTAAGATCTAAGGTTCATTCATTCCGAAGAAAAAGAGCAGTTCATGTGATTAATGGAAAAGATGAAATGTATAATATCAGAGGTGATTTTGATTTGTGCATTACCATTAATGTGGCCATCACATCAAAAACATGGCTTTATTATTTCTTTTCCTTGTTTTGTCCTGTGCTTTAAAATTGAGGACTCTTGGTTGTTAAAGTTGAGGTTTTAATTACAAGATACAGGTCACTTCCAAAAACAAAACACAATAAAACAAAAGAGTGGGTGATCAAGTCAGTGCTTTGAGATTAAATTACTACACTGAATGAGAATATGGAATGGAAACACCATTGACTATGTCAGTGTCTCAGTGTATTCAAAGTCATTCTCAGTTGTTTTATGCAATTATTCATGATCTTCCAAAAGGTGAGCAATTCCCTTCAAGGGTGTCATTAGGCCACTTGTGTGTCATAAATTATTTCATTTTCAAAAATTTCAAGTACATACTATTATTTCCATTTTCTACTATTAGGAAGGAAAGAAGTTATGATAGAAATGCTCCACTGATAAACTCTTGGGAAAACGGATATTTTAAAAAAAAGTCTATATTAGTTAACCTGAGGAAATTGGTTTTTATAAACCCCTCCTCTTGTTGATATTAAAAAATGAAGACAGTGCAAAGTGAATTGCAGGACTCTGATTTTAAACTTTGATCTGGTTCCAGGCTATCTTTTTCTTGTCTTTCTGACTGTCCTTATTTGGCTGTAATACACAGATGACAGAAGATCTGCAATCAGTGGGGTCTTGGACTAACTGACTATATCAAGCCCCATGATTTTTCATATCCATTCTTTGCCTGTAGGAGCTCCAACTGGCTGTTGCTTAGCTATAGTTACATAAAGCTCAATGCCTCATCAAAATGGGAGAAAGTAATATCTAGATTCTTTCCCCTGGAGTCACAGTTGTTTTCAGGTATTGGCCCTAAGTGTGCCTATATCATTAGAGAGTTGGTTACTAACCACATTCATTTTTACTCTTCTTGCTGATCACAGATACTTTAGTTCAAATGATTCTATCTACTCAATATATATATATATATATATATATATATATATATATATATATTTCTCGTCTTTACTTGGAAATGACAGCACTAATGGTGGGATTTCAGAGAGAAAATTCTGTCATGAAGGTGAGCCTTCATGAATGGAATTTATGTCTTTACAAGAGCCACTTCAGAAAGACCTCTTTCTACTTCTACCACATGAGCTTAGAGTGAGAATACAGCTATCTCAGCAGATACCATTTCTACTGGTGACTTTACCTCTGACTTCCTAGAATCTACAATGTTTAGAAATCCATGTCTCCTATTTACAAACTTCTCAGCTTATGGTATATATGTTATGGTAGCTGAAACATACTGAGCTAATGAGAATTTGATTAACCCCCACTAACTTAAACTGAGAGTAAAGTTTATAGTCTCAAAGAAGAAACCTCAAGGGAGAGGTTGCTCAGCACTCTGGTGCTGATTCAGTGCCACAATGCCCGAAAATGGCCTTCTTTGGGAGACCAAATACTCACGATTTCATTGATACTGACTTTGTAGAAGCTCTGCTGGTCGGGTCACTCCACTCTGAATAGAAAGGACACAAACAATTACTGTTCATGCTTCTCTTGTAAGTGAGTATTCAGAATTAAATTACTTTCTAAACGTGCAGCCCTCCCAGATAATTTTACAGTCTTCTGCCAGAATAATAGATGAAAAAGAAGAACTAGAATGGTAAATCACCAGGTAACCTTTCATTATTATCACTCTTTCATACTATAATGACATTAAGTAGAAAAGAGAAAAGTAAGGGAACTAAGAATATGGGTGACTGGTATAAGGAATTGAAAAAACAAAAATAAAAATCACTTACTTTGTAAGGTAAATCCTGGAGTCAGATGCTGAGATTCCTGTAAGAAAAAACATATAATACAGACATTACTAAAACGATATGGGTGTGAGGAGAGTTGCCTGTTATTGCTGAGGATATAAACTTATTGTTTGCAAATAAGAAATCACTGTTAGCAATTATATTAGTTCAACTTCTGCATGTAGCTATATTTGTACCTACTAACCAAGGCTGCTGCCACAAGATAATAAATGTCACTTAATTATAATTAAAAATAAGGATCATGTCTATTTGAACATGTGTCCCACATGAGAACTTCAAGTTGAGAATTTATTACTTAGCTAGGCAATGATGCCTCTAAAAAAGTTAAGTGTACTTGGTTCAACCAAACACATGATCATGGTTTTTGTAAAAGTATAAACATGATTGTAATTAATAAATATGTCAAGTTTCTCCCATGGTAAAAAAAAAACCACACTTTTAAAATGTAGAAGTTTTAAATTAGTTTAACAGAGGTGTTCATAAAACTTTATTACAAGCCTGTTGAGATATAGGAAGTAATTTGAAATATGTTAGTAGACTATATTATTTAAAGAATTTAGATTTTGTTTGAAAATCACCCTTCACAAAATTCATTCACTGTTTTGAGAAATTGAGACTTGTGCTTATAAGTCTTGCTGAGAGTGTGGCAGATCTTGACAAATTTGGCAGGCAATAGCATTATAGTAGTGCTCAGGAGTATTTGAAAGAGAAAGTCCCCTATGGTCTCTGACACTTGACTACTTTGCTGCTTAGGTAGGTTTAGGAGGTGTGTGACCTCACTGGAGGATATCACAGGGGGTGGACTTTGAGGTTTCAAGTTCATGTGCTAATTCTTGTTCACTCTTTAAGGTTGGAAATAAGAGCTCTCTCATTAGTCAAACCTGCCTGCTGCCATACTTCCTTGCCATGGTGGTGATGGATTTTTATCCATCCGGAACCATAAGCCCAAATAGAGCCTTCCTTCTGTAAGTTGCCTTGGTCATGGTATTTTATGATAGCAATAGAAAAGTAACAAATACATCAGGTCATGCACAATAGTGGAGACTCAGTAGAGAACTTGCAAGACTATGCAACAAAACAGCAAGGTCCTGGGTTCCATCAATAGGACTCAATGAAAGTTGATATAAAATTGGCTTTCTCAAAGTCATTGCTTTGAGTTATATATTCATTAGGGTAAATCTTATACTATAGAGAAGAAAAAAATCACAGCATATTTTTTCTTTAAAGAAATAAGCAAAGAACCATATGGCTGTGTTGCACTTTAGCTGAAAGTGAAGTTTTCAGTCTATTTTATTGTACTTTCACAATAGTTTGGCTTCTTGATGGTCACTCTAGAAAACTACAATTAAAAAGTAGTAGGAAATCCCTCTCAGCTAAAGAGCATAACTAGAATACGTGTAAAGTATACTGCTCAAAGGTTTCTACAAATAATGGAAATATTAAATATTTTTGTTTGTTAATGTAAACATTGACAAAAAATCCATGGGTGATGTGGGATTCCCCTCTGTGTGCTGTGAATATGTTTTATTACCAGTGATTAATAAAGAAGCTGTTTTAGCCAATGGCTTAGTAGAGTAAAGCTAGGCAGTAAATCTGAACAGAGATAGAGAGAGAGAATAGGCAGAGTCAAAGAGACTCCGTATAGCTGCCAAAGGAGAAGGACATGCCAGCCAGAAAATTACCTGTAGGCCACAACCTTGTGATACATAGATTAATATAAATGGGTTAATTTAAGATATAGGAGTTAGTTAATAAGAAGCCTGAGCTAGTAGGCCAAACAGTGTTGTAATTAATACAGATTCTCTTTGACTATTTGGGTCTGAGCAGTCTGGAGATGAATGAGCAGTTCCTGGTTACACATGAGCTAGGAAAGTTATTGGCCAAAGGTGGGGCTCAATATTGTTTAGTTAAACTAATATAACACCAAACTGCATTATAAATATTTATGCTTATACCTATAAACAAATCCCACTCCCACTCATCTTTAATTATGGAAGCTCATATTTGCAATGAGTGGAGGTGCACACAGAGTAACGGCTGCCCAAATGCTGAGAATGACAGTTGAATATTAGGCCTTAAACAAGACAATTTATGTCACGCTCTCAAAGGTTCAGGGAACACTGCAGAAGAGAATGAAATACTGAAGGAATCAGAAGATAGGAAGAAGGACTGTGAAATGTTCTCTTCAAGACACAACACAGCTGTTACAAATAGAATTTCATAGCAGATATGGTTGCCTGCTTTGACCTGCATTAGATAGGTCTGTCAAAAGACAATTGTGGATTGGGGAGGGGCTCATGGAATGCTACCTTACCTTCTGAAGTACTGACAACTGAAGGACTCTAGGGGAGGGACAGTCATTGTCTTCACTTGTGAACCAAACAATGAACAACAAGTATCCAAGGAATGGCTCTTAAAATGGTTACTACACATTGGTTGTTGATTAAGATCACTGGGTCACAAATAAAAATGGCATGAGTGTAGGAAAAGAAGCTGTAGGGAGGAGAAGGCTTTTGACAGATGTGGATGGAAAGTAAGAGTTGGGGGCTGGTGAGAGTAAGTACAATGCACTATATACACATACAAATGAAATTGTCAAAAATGAACTTAATCAAAAGAAAGGAAAAATAATGGAACACATCTAAAAGTTGTGCTGCTGTGTACTGATCACAGATTTTATCATTACATTTTTATACATATATATGTCATTGTACTTTTCTCATATTTACTTCCTTACCACTGTCCCTTTCCTGTCTGTCTCTAGAGCACCAAATGCCTTTTGATGAAAGGTTTCTAAAACGTTGAACAATCAGATACTAATCCTTAGGAAATTACAGATGTAAAGGTAGGGAATTTATTTGTAGAGGTCATATCACTGTTAAAGATCAATAAGATGTGAAAATTACAGCATAAGAGTCCATGGAGAAAAGCATAGCAAATTCAGAACTTAAAGAAAGCACACAAGTCTATGGCCATCTAATGGCAAGGAAAATATTCTTCTTATCTGTCTTATTATTCCTTGAGGCAACAATTATAACATACAGGATCATTACAGCACAATATAATAATTGATGCTGATAATATTATCAAAGCTATGAAGAAACACTAAAGAATGTTCAACAAAACCTTCCAAAGATGGCAAAAATATTAATTATATTTCAAAATAATTTCCACCATGTGGATTCTCTAAAATTGTCCAAGAATTTCAACTATCAAGAATGTTTTATGTCTTTTTTAAATGCATAAAAATGAGTTGCTAACCATTTGTATCAGCTTAACTTTAAACAAATATTTCTATCTGCTGTTTCTCTAAAGGATTTTATTACAAAGATGCAGGGCAAGTTTAGACTTGTATACCATCAGGAAATTAAACACAGCTTCCAAAGTCAATCAAAGAAAATCCGATAGGAGAATAAAACACATGGTCTTTGTATTTGTCCTGTAAACTTGTTTTTAAGATGGTCTTTATACTCAAACACTTGGTTGTTTCCGTGTATCAGTGTAGTGATGCATAAAACAAATAGGAGGATGAAGTCACTCCACAGTTTTGTATAATTGATGTTATATATTCTTGACATTGATTTTAATGCTAATGTGGATAAATCATTTTAAACAGGATATACAAATAAAGAAAACACTTTTATATGCTGCCAAAGTCACCATACATAGATATATAACCATGTATATATAAAAAATCTATGTTCATACAATAATTGTTATCGCATGTGGTATTTAAAAGGTCACCAGACATGAAGCTCAGTATTTTTTGCACAGAAATACCATATATGCCAGTACATAATAAGAACAAACCATATTTACAAACTCATGTAAGGCTCTTTTAAATAACCACCTGGATGACAATCATGTGCTCAGAAGCTCCTATGGGATCCAGATTTTAAAGGTCAGCTAACTTTTCTCTTAAAGGACTATATAATAAATATTTTTGAGTTTTGAAAACATATGGTCTTTGTCATCATTGCTCAACTCTGCCATTATAGTACAAATGGCTGCTCCAAAAATGAATGATTCATAGACATATTAAAACAATATTGTGTTATTTTTCTTCTGATTTTATTTAGCATTTTAAGATGCAAATATTCAAGGGTTCAAGTGCCATTGCTGTTCTAGAAGTCACTTGCCTGTGCCAACCTTCCCCCAAGGAGACTGGTGCTCTCTTGGTTCTACCTGGCATGTGTTTATTCCCTTCTTTGTGGAGATTTACAATCTCCATAAGAAATGGGATAGTTTAAGTTTGTGATTATTAAGGAAACTTAAACTTAGAATTTTAAATTGTGTTTGTCTTTGTAAGTTTACAGATTCATAAATCACTTGACTTGAAAATCACACACACATAGAGGGGGAAAGAGAGACATACATACATACAGACAAACAGACAAACAGAAAGCCTTGTATAGATGAGGAAGATGAAACTTAGAGGAACTTCAACAAGTCTAAGAAGCATGCAAATGGAAGAGTTAGATTAAAGCTGTCTAAGATTGTCATTCTCTCTTCTGGATGAGCTCTGTCGTAGCTTTTTTGGGGTGGGATAGGTTCTCAGAGGGTAATATCACCTAGTACTGGTACAAGCACAGAAAAAAAGGCTATCACCCATTTTAGGCACATTGATTGGAGACAGACACTGTTTAGAAGATATACTTTAAAATAGGGCATCTGTAATGAGAGCTAGTTTGATCCCAGGTCTCAGAATATCTATATCTCCAAACTAGTTTTCTAAGTTATTAATGGCAGCTCTGAAGCACCTTATTTAATGATTACGCCTCTCAATTTTCTTCTCTGTATGTTATGAATGATCAAATTACCAGCATGTCTGAGTTGTAGTGAGGATTGAATTATTTATTCTATTTAAAATGCTTACAATGAGTTGAGACTACAGAAAAGGATGGCAAGCCCAGGGTAACCAATGGAGTGTGGGGAGCATGGGTGCCAGAAGAAATGTCTCATACCCAGACTGGGACATTGAGGTTTACTGTTTATTTTTGATTCAATTTAAAGGTAATA